AATGAAAACTTCTTATCCCCTGGCTCACAATGCTTGTCCAGGGGAAATATAGTTTTCTAACACTGGTTGCACTGGAAAATGTGGTCCCAATCAATTGTCTATGAAAAAGCCAGGCTGTTCTCCCAGGTGCAAAATCGTCACCCCTAACAGTACACCAGCAGCTATAAATTAAACATCTTAACCGTGGTGCACACTGTAATTAACAGGATTGAACCATGAAATATTATACTTAAGTTTAAATACTATGTTCTCCATCTCACTACATAAGAGGGCATCTCTTGTGATGTAAACTAGAGTATGGCAGCTCATTTCAATTTCCTGCTTGCTAAACAAAGTGAATGTTGTTGTGACAAATAATTTTTTAAAGGATTTATAAAAATATAAGAATTGATTTTACAATCTATTTTTTAATTACTATACAAGTAATGTTTATATGTCTTTATAAGAATAAGTTAATCTTTCACATTTCTTCTTACAGGTACAGGTATTCCTGTATGAACCATCACTTCAAACACTACAGCATAATTTTCTGCTCAAATGCTATTTAATACACTTAGAAAACACAACCTTGCCAAGGTACTGAAATGACACAGGGATTTACCTGCAGCAGTAAGGGTGTCAATTCTATCAAGAACTAAGAAAAAAGAGCTGGTGTCATTCGATAGATCCATTTTAATAAGCCCCTACATGTTAGCAAGTCTCCTTTAGGTCATTGATTTGAAACATCTAACAACAAAATGATTCCTGCGAGATTCATATTCCCTCTTTGATGTTAACATTAATCTATGTGGTAAAACTAGTCACACATAATACATCTCAGTCAAGTTGTGTGGCGATGTCACAGTGGGGTGTCAGTACAGTATATTTGAAAACCATGGAGACAAAGAACTAAATTTGCTTGCACAGTGAAAACCTGACCCAAAAGTGTTAAATTATCTTTCTGAAATGAAACACAAATAATTCCTTAATAAATTGCTTCTAATTTTTAATACTCACAATCAGACTGATTGCAAAAGCAGGTAGAGGTGTAGTAAAATGCTAATGGTTTGTTCAAACAATTCCATTTAGCTTAGAAAAAAAAAAACATTTTCATGACGTTTCAAAGAAGCTTTGTCACTGCTTACTAGACATCTGTCACAATTATTCAAAGATCTGTTTATTCCTTTTTCAGGACAGCAATACATTATTTTATGATGATGTTGTAGTGTGCTGTAAGTCACCTTAGAAGCAGCAGAAACAATTTTCTGAATTAATGCAATTGAACGAATATCTCTACAATTCATTATGATGTGGAACAATCTGCTTCTCTGTCTCTGTCATTTATTAAAACTCAGTCCTCCAAACTGAATTTTTCCTTTAAAATACAGTACAAACATCACCCATCAAGATGACAATTTCAAGTTCCATTTTTCCCCCAGTTGAAACAACATACAGATATAAAATGCTGCTCAAAACAATTTCAATAAAAATGCAGGGAATAGATTAGCTGCACACTAAAAAGAAGAAACTTTTATAGTTTTGTTCTTTTCTGCGTTTTCTCTTTTCTCTAAGAACAGCCTACAGAATTCATTTGTGATATAAAAAGACAAGTTTGCAAAGTTTTACTTTCTGTGTTTTTCATCAATACTCAAGTTAGTTTAAGGTACACTTGATAATAAGCTGACACATAAGAATCCACTTAATGGCACTTAGGCTAAATAGAGGGAATGCTGACAAAACTGAAAATGCATTTCTGCTAAAGGTATAGTTCAGAGATAACAAACCATAACTGTCCTATAAAGTATAGTTCATAAATAAAAAAATCTGGGAAATAGCAGGAGAAGCAAATGGGTAAAAAGACAGCAAGAACACTAGAATACTGCATTAACTATATGCTGGGAAAAACTCCAGATTACAACTACTCAGAATATTGAGAGTACACACAAAGGAATCGTGGCCTGCAGATGATTACTTAACCCATCCTGTTACTTAGTTTTCAGAGTTCGTATAAAGACAGAAAGTAACATAAATCTGATGCAGGTAAGGTAATGAATATTTTGAAGTCTCAGTTCCTCTAAATGCTCATTTTAATAGTAAAGGGATATAAAATTGTGGACGTTTCTGAATCAGCTATTTTAATAGCAACACAATCCAACCAACGGATCAAAGATAGTGGTTTCTTTACTGCATTAACAGATACAATTACATTCTCTTGTATATAAACTGCAGAAGTCTCTGATAAAACAGAATTAAAATTCAAACCCGCCCATCTTTCAAAACTATTTTAACGTGCATGTAGTGGATCCTCTCAACCAGAAAATTACACAGAGAGACATTAAAAAGCAACAAATGAGTATTGGAACCAGTGGCACTGAGTTTCAAATGCCTCTTGATATACATTGAATCCCCATACAACAGACATCAATAATAAAAAAAACAGTTTCAGTAAATAATGTCGTGCCAGACTTTCATTTTAAAAAGGACAAAATGCAAGTAAAGCTGGATAAGCAAAAACGTAGATAACACACTGCCAACTCTATTTAGAAATAATAAAATTATACACCATAAGAACTCTATACATACAGTAATTATATCCATCCGTATTATAACCACTTTATCCAATACGGAGTCGCTGGGGAGCCAGAGCAGATCCTCACAAGCAGAGGAAAAAGGTGGGATACACCCTGGAAAGGACACCTGTCCCCTACAGGGCTGGAGATACACCCCAGGAATCAAACCCAGGACCCCAGCACTGCAAGGAAGCAATGCTAACCACTACACCACATTAATAATTACATTTATGTAATTATTATAGATTACCACAAATTTGCAATGAACAGAATATAAAGGAAATCTTACTGAATTGCAGTACCTCTCCAAAGAACCACATAAGGTTGCTCACCGGGTTGTTCATTTGAACTCTGCAGATGGGCAGAGTTATTACAGCCCTGTATTACAGCCAAAACCTGTTTTAGAGATGTGTTACCTCTGATCTAAATGGATTCTGTTTTTCAAGTAATTAATACATTATTTCAGAAAACCTTATCTTGAAATTGCATGTGCAGTAACTGGTGGCCTTGTAATCCTGTTTTGATGATCTGCTCTACTTTCAGCACAGTGGAATCGAGTGCTTTAGTCTTATTGTACAATTCCAGGTCATCCCCTCTGTACTTATTATCTTCGTGTCTGAAGAGCATATATACAGTAGTTTCCTGCAGTCAGTCAGGTAGTTGAGCACTGCTAAATGATCTTTTTGACAACATCTTTTCACAGTTACATTCTTGTAAAAGAATTCTAAGCCCCCAGATTACTTGCTGAAATAAAACCCAATACAAATGCCTCTTAAAACAGCTCCTGTAATAGGCAGTGAGATAAAATAAGGAACAGGAAGCTCCACAGTGCTTATGGATGTGTTAACGGTACATGGCAAGAAGTTCAAGCTTCAAACACATAAATAATAATAAATCCAGTTTTAAGAGACCTGCTTACTTTGCAGATGAAGAAGGAGGAGTTATTTAACAGATGTCTTTGGCTTGCAGGGCTCATATACAGCTTCCACTTTCACCAGCCTAATTACAGTGTACCTGCTAAAACATTATTCATCATTTTGAACAGAATCTACTATGTTTTCTCTCGACTAGAAGAACGGAAATCACCAACCACTGATTTTTTAAACCTTGTTCAATATCTTAACGGCAGGCAAAACATAATCTATTTTGTGCCATTCATTTCAAGCGATAAAGTCTGCAACACAATGCAGATTAGCGATGCATTCTTGATTGGTACTGTAGATGTGGCAAAAATCCAAACAGTTTCTTTTTTTTTATTTGTAGGATGAAAGCAGAGCATGCTGCAGCTGAACTATTACATAACACCCTCCCTTTTGTACCAGAGTTGCTTTGACTCAGTAATCTATATTATGGAGACTGTTCTGTCAATCTTGAAGCACAGACATCTGTTGTGTAAGTGCCCTGATATAATAGAGACACCTTTCACCATTGACCTTTTACAGATCTTAATGACTTATCGCCTTCTTATATGGTAGCCTGTGCTAGCCCATACTTGCTAGCATGGTTTTTTCCAGGTTCACACTCACTTCTAAGATGTCAAAATTGCTCCCCTAGTAAGGCAGGTTCCAAAAGGTATTCCGAGGATTGCTGAGAAAACAGGCAAAAGGGCAAGCAGTTTTTTTTTTGGCGTTTTGTTTTCCCCTATGGGGCAAGCACATAACTGGGGGCCTAATCACTCTTCGCCATGAGTCAGTCAGAGAGGATCCCATCAGTAGAGGAAAACCTGATGAGGTCATCATACCAGCCAGAGACCTGCTTATGGTGGGAATATGGCTGTGCGGGACTAACAAAGGCCTAAAGCGAACCGCAGAGTCACCAGCCCCAGTCCCACAGGTTTTATAGTAAAGGAATAAAATGCAGATTTCTAAAGGCCTGTGAGAAATGACAATTTGACTGTGATCATTTCCACAGGAGATCTGGTAAATGAAGCAATTTATTGATCAGCTGAAACCAGAATAATGAGCCTTTAAGGACCACCTGAGTTCCCTCAACCAAACAAACTAGGCTACTTGCTTAAATGATCTGTAATGAACAAGTGTTATGAGTCTTAGGGAACATTAGATTTAGAATGACCCCTAAAACCTACTAGAGCGGGATTCTCTGGGACAAGGGATCAAGGGATGGTGACCATGTTTCACTCCACCCTCTTTTAAATTACTTCTTACAGTGGGGGGGCTGAGCTGATATGTGCAGAAACACCCCAGCACATACAGTAGCTGGGGCCTGTTTTTTTACATGCCAGTAGAGGTTAGGACCTTGAATGCGAGTATGTCTTTCGGGGAAGGAGGGCAATACCGAGTACGCACACACATCATGTTTCTCACGTTTCAACCGCACACAGGACTGCAACTGCCCCTCAGTCATGTCCGTGTGACTACATCCCAAACGTTAACCATTAAAATCACAATCAATCCTGCGCAATAATTCAAAGGCACAAGAAGGCGAACTTACAGTCCAGGTGTTTTTTCTTGGGTCCCATCACCTCATGAGTGGTGGCTTTGCAGACAGCTCGGGCAACAGCTGATCCCGTAACGCTGTACTGAGCGGCGGCAATGCGATCCGTCAGAGTCTGCCCCGACATCTTCTTTCCGGAGCTACAACCTCAAGAATTAATCTCGCAGCAGGGAAACAGCGGTTTAACCAAGAAATGGGTATCTCTCTCGCGATTTTAACGGCTGTCCTTTGGCTACCGTTTCAGGGTACTGCTATAAAAAAAAAATACGAAAACCGAAGGTCTTATAAGCCACGAGAATTTAATTTGTATTTTCCCACCGTCGATAAGAAATTATTTTATATAAATTGCCTAACAGGGATAATCATAAGCGGGCATGTATTCCTCTTTGTGTCTCTTTATACCGTTCAATCTACCAAATGCTAACCGTTTTCTTCTCGCAATGACCTCTCTAGCAGTAAAAAGCGATTTCTTTCCTTTATGATATATAAACCAGGGAATTAATTTCCTAAGCATGCGACACCCCGATGTATTTCTTCAATACTAATTGCCTAATGCCTTTTATTCCGTCTTCCTTACATACCCAGGCGTATTTTCCTGTAGAAATGTAATCAACTGCTTTAAATAATTAATGATAAAAACCCTTTCCATGAAATGTATGCAAAAAGTGAAGAAAAAAAATGGATAGTCTTTGGACAGCCTGGTGATGACGGTTCTGTATCTGGGTGACACTCGGCCAGTCGCGTCCTCCTCTGACTGCTGGATTAATCTTCCATCCACCGTCCTGTTTTTAATGTATCATGTCTTAATCGCTAGACACCTCTCATCGCCTTTCCCCTTCTCCTGCGGGATGCAAATGGTCGTTTCTCTCTCCTCTGTTCTCCTGTCTACTTGGGAGTGATGCTAGATGCAGAGGATGAGAAAGATGGTGATGTTGGATTGAATCTGTAGATCCCTTTATTTTTTTTAATTCTCTCCTCCCCCCACTTCTGTGTTCACATGGAGTCAGGTGACACGACATTAACAAACCGGTAGCATCCCCCCCGCCACACACACCCCATACCGCACTCTTAAAGGGGAGTTGTGTCACACGGGCGCTTGCCAAAGGACAATACTCAGCCGAGCCAAGAGGAGCCCTTTGTCTTTAAGGTGCGTTATTGGCTCTGTATGTAGTGGGTCAAAAAAATATTACATTGCGCAATTTATTTTAAGTATATGGACGAATCACCTGGACCGTTCAAATAGTAAAGGGCATATATATATATATTATTTTGCAAAAATAGAATACACCTTTATATTAACAGAATAACCATTGTGCATCACAAAGTTTTCCAGCCCCTTTCCCCTAGACCGAGGTGCAAGTAAGAACGTACAGTACTGTAAAATGTTGCAAGATACTGGAGGCTATTCGACTCATCCGGTGCGTTTGCTTGGAGTCAGCTGTGTGCCTCAAGGTGTAGTTGTAGTTTCTGGTGTAGTTGTGTTCATTCCTGCGGGAATGGTGTGACAATATTATGTATGAGTTAATACATTTCTAGGATAGCATGCAATGAAGTATTATATTTTCTTATTTACAGTACCGTAGCTCTATTTATTGCTTCTCCACATTGTCTAGATGTGTAAATGTAGACGTCTACATTTTTTCATAACTTCTTCAAATTCAGTGTTTCGTATCTTGCAGTATATCTATATTTTATTTTTGTGCTACACTAAGCACTCATCTACATTAAATTTAATCTGTTAGATCTTTATGAGATTCATTCCTGAATTTATTGAATTTTTTGAATTTTTGAACTTCCTCTGTAGTGTTTGCAAATATTCATATGTTGTTCTCATCTGTAAATCTAACTGGTTTAGTAAGTACACTAGAATGTAGATAATCTATATTAACTATGAAGAACAATGGTACTAGTACAGATCCCTGTGGTACTCAACTAATTATATCACCACAATTTGAGCATTCACACCTTTTCTGTATTCAGTTTCCTATTAATCACGTCTTAATTGAAAGACATGCCTTACCTTGAATGACTAATACCGTATGTTTAAAAATTAATCTTTTAATGAGGAACTTCATCAAAGCTTCATGAAAATCTACATATACATACCATATTCTATGTTTTTTGTGTCTGTTGCTGCTGTTGATTCTTTAAAGAACTCTAATGATTAACTTCCTCTCTCCTGTAAACCTTCTGATGGTCGTATGAGGCACAAAAAACTTTGTATCACAAAAGCTTCCAGAGATCTGTAACAAGCCAACTCAGTCACTTTGTTGAAACCAATACTCTCACTTCTTTTTAGTAATGGCTGGATGAGATCATCTGATTAATTAGCTTCTAGGAACCAAAAGGGTGTTCTTAACATGTTAAGATTCTTAACACGTTAACTTCTTAGCTTAGCAATACCTTCATTTCCTAAATATACAGTAAGTTGACTATCCCATCAGAATACCCCCTCAGAATCGCAAGAATCTGATCTCCTAGAGCATTCTGCACTTTAAATATTTAGACACTTTAAATAGTATGTCATTAAAAAGCAATGTTGCAGAAATCATGCCCTGTAGGTCCCTTATGTAGATATACAGTACAGAAATTACAGTTCAATAGTTCAGGTGCAATGCTTTGGACAGAGCTGAAATGCACACTGTTAAATACACGTTCATTTTGATGCCAACTTAAACCATTGTGCAAACAGAGAGAAAAACATGCTGAACCACTATGCACATAGAACCCCCGATTCACATTTAAATATTAGACAGAATAAGTAAGACTGTTTAAAATGTTGTAGCTGTGACATGATTTCATCATTGGTTACTGAGTTTTATAAGATGAAAAACGTCATGTGTTGCAGGTTTTAGGGGGCAGTCAAGTCAGGTATCCTTACAAAAGTATTTAATACCTGTCTTTGATTAGCTTGCTTAAAGACATCCAGATGGCAGAGTATGCTAGCAGAAGCACTCTACATACACTGTCTTGATTGTATTAAAACAATTAGACAGGAAAATAATTCAGCTAAAAACTCCTATGTTATCAAACATCTTGGGAACTGTGGTCCATGCTTATGTGTAAATTACCATCATGATTGTTGCCAACTCTGAGTAATAAAATGGTGTTACCAGTGCAGGGATTTCTGTGATAGTAATAGTTTTTATGGGTCTTCCCTGATGCCCAAATGTATAGTCATCTGCTGTACAGAAACTATCCTTCAAAACTGATCAAAATTGGATGATCTTCTCATCACATGTCCTTTCAATTCTTAAGAATCCTACAGTCTACTGATGGTGGATGTACTGTATGGGAACTCAATGTCTTGCCTTTTCTGACAGCAGCCCATATATACTGTATCCTGTCCTCTCTGTTTTATTGAGTTTCTATGTGATTAAAAACTAATGAAACTGTAGTGCTCTTTTTTGTAAGCATTTGTAACCAATTATTTGGATAATTCTATAAAATCAATCATTAGAAAGGAAATAACTTGTTCTGTGTGATGGAGTGTATTGTGATAAAACAATGGGAGTGTTGTTTTAAGGTAATTACATCACAGTTGAAATGAAGTGCAAAACACAAGCAGAAATGAAAATGCAAAGCGAATTAAAATAAAGCAGAAATACTCTATCTGTCACAGTGGAAATGAGGTCACTGAGAAGGCTGAGAGGAGCAGGAGAAAACAAGTACACTCTTCAGCAAGTCAGTTTTTGTTCCATCCATCCATTTTCTAATCCAATTATCCAGTACAGGCTCATGGGAGTTGCCGGAGCCTAACCTGGCAAGCAACATACACAAGGCAGGAAACACTCTAGATGGGACATCAGTCTATAATCGAGCATATACAGACATACTCACACCAGGACCAATTTTTACTCAAGCCAATTAACCTACCAGCATACCTTTGCACTTTGCGAAGAAACCAGAGCACCTGACGAAAACCCACACAAACACAGGGAGATCATACAAACTTGCAGATAGCACCACAAGTCTGGAATTGAACCCAGGGCCCCAGCCCTGAGTGGCAGCAGTGCTAACCACTGCACCACTGTACAGCCCGTTTTGTTCCAGCAAGCAAAGTATTGTTACAGAGATAGGTGACAAGGAAGTGTCATTAAGAGTTTAGATAAAGTGTGTAACACCTGGCTGTGTAAACATTTCCAGCTGTTACTTAAGAGTCAAATACTTGGCAGCAGTCTGGGGGTTTCTGGGTAGACATTGGTCTCTGAAATGCTTTGCCTGTACATGCTGTATACATACTGTAGAGAAACATGTGTGTTTATGTTGTTTATGTAGTGTGTCACTGTCATTGTTAATACATAAAAAATAAATAATGGACAGAGCTGTGGCACTGTGGCTAAGGATCTGCACCTGTGGCTGGAAGGCTGCCGGTTCGTATCCTGTGGCTGGCAGGGGAATCTTATTCTGTTGGGCCCCTGAGCAAGGCCCTTAACCCCAGCTGCTCCAGGGGTGCTGTATAAATGGCTGACCCTAAGCTTCTCTCTCTCCCTGCCTGTGTGTCTCACGAAGAGCAAGCTGGGGTATGCAAAAAGACAAATTCCTAATGCAAGAAATTGTAAATGGCCAA